TTTGACTTCTACCAAATTGCTGTATGAGTTCTAGCAATCTTGGGGTGGAGGCTTTTGGGTTTTCTATGTAGAGTATCATGTCATCGGCGAAGAGGGAGAGTTTGACTTCTTCTTTCCTAGCAGTTCATCTTCAGATATAGATGATCCTTCAACTCTGGAAAGCGGTAGAAATTGACGTGAGAAGTGCAGGGAGACAAATTAGGGGATAGTTTGGTTTGGGCACGTTGCATGGGCAAGAGGGTACAAAGATATACCTCAAAGCCAGAAGACGAAGGCAAGATCAGAGTGGGGATGTCTAGGCAAGGGTAGGAGGTGGGAGGTGAGGCACAGCCCTCCAGAAGTTCTCACCCAATGGCAGGCCCAAGTGGAGGTGGATGGTAAGAATTCCTGGAGTCATGAAGTAGTCCTGACAGGAACTGTCATTCAAAAGCTGTGGCAGGCAGATAATATTACCCCTTCAGTGTCCCTTGAGATGTGCTGAGCCCAAGAGAGAGACTCTCCTTAGGAGACAGGAATTCATGCCCAAGTACAGCTAACTATCTTAAGACCCAAGTTCTGCTAACAATTCTCCTTCTCCCACAGCATGAGAAAATGAGTGTTCCATCATTTTCTGTTTCCGTACCATTTCCTTTCTATCCTCAGTGTGTATTCCCTTCAACTTTTTGGTCCTTGGGCTCATGCCACTCACCCAGTTGAATCCTAAACTGAATGCATCTCTCCTACCCAAATCTAAATTGATAGATCCTTAGTATTCCATAATTGAGATTTGTCAATTCTCTAAAACCTTTGCTAATCTCCAAAATCACTCACCTCACTCTGCTCTTCAGACACTCGGGGCAATAAGGTAAGTGAAAAGGACTTGGAGTTAGGTAAACTTCAGGTGGAATTCCAGTTTCCATCCCTGACTAGCTCTGTGATCTACAGTAAATAAATTTCTCTGAGCCCTATGTCCTTATCTGAAAAGTTGGAAATCAAATCTTACCTTGTAAGTCTGTTATACAATATATGGAAATCTTTATAATTATGGAAAGCCTTTAGGGACAATTGCTGGCATGTAGTAGATAGCCAGTACACTTTAACTTATATTGTTAACTTTTAACATGTGGAAATTGTGGGCAGAAATGGATTAGGATAGAGGAATTAGGAAGCCAGGACTGGGAGAACAAAGGTAAAAGTGGGGACAGGTATTGAGTCTAGTATGTATGAAGCACTCCCAAGCTGAGGTGTGTCCAGACCCAAAGGCAAAGGAGGCCAGGATCGGACGCTAGGGGAGCAGTGAGACGGTACAAGCAGCTGGTGACCAGAGGTCAGGGCATAGGCGTGGCCACACTCAGTGCTGGAATCAAGGAGAGCATGCAGCAAGTGTTCTTGACCATGATGTAGTAAAAAATCTATATAACTAATACAACTAGTAAGTGACAGAGCCCAGATGCCAGCCCAGACAGTCTCCAGAGCCCGTTCTTTTAACTACCCTCTAATAGATATCTTCAACTGGAAGCCTTTCTTTGCTAATCCAGGGGCCAAACCATAAGATGGGGAGTCTGCGAAAGAGCAGCCAAAGTGAGTAATCCCCCAATGTATTGGGGTACTTGGATGGCACAGCAGGTTAAGCATTTGCCTTAATCAGAGTCCTGGATCAAACCCTGTATCAGGCTCCCTGCTTAGCAGGGAGTCTGTTTCTCCCTCACCCTCTGCTGCTCCCCATCTTTGTGCTTTCTCTCTCTCTCTCTCTCTCTCTCTCTCTCTCTCTCTCTCTCTGTCTCTGTGTGTGTGTGTGTGTGTGTCGGATAAATAAAATCTTAAAAAAATTTTACTTTTAAGTGATCTCTACACCCAGTGTGGGGCTCGAACCCACAACCTCAAGATCAAGAGTTGCATCCTCCACTGACTGAGCCAGCCAAGTGCTCCTGTATTTATTGTTAACATTATTAATATAACAAATGGTCAGTACAGCATTTGTGAAGACTACTGTGTTCCTGGCCCTGGGCTAATTGTGCTTTGCCTGTATTCTTTAATCCCACAACTATTACGTAAGACATTATCTATTTTGTAAATGAAAAAATGAAGCTCACGGAGTTGCTTGCCTCCCATTCATATCAAAGGAGTACTACTTTTTCCATCCAATCCTCCACTTACAATATCTACTGATTCAAGCTCTCCACTAACTCCTTTTACTGAGATTACTAATGGCTTTCGAGATGCTAAATCCAGGGGACATTTTTCAATAATCAACTCAATGACTCTTCCACACTCCTCCTTGGTGATTTATCCATCCTTCAGCATTTCCAGGACCACAGTTTGTTTCAGGGTCATCTTTCTGACTATTTTTTTCTCCCTCTCTTTTATTTTTCTGGTGCTGGTCCTTATATGTAGGTCTTCTCCAGGTGCACGTCCTCATGTCTCTTTAATGTACACACTCTTTCTTGAATGTTCTCACCCACTTCCTGGTCTCTGCTACTACTGGAATGCTGAAGGTAGGGGAAATGGTGTCATAATTTGACATCCATAGATTTGAGACAAAGATATGTATTAGAAACATACTAGAGACAGCTGCTGCCCACATAACCATCTCAAATTGAAGTGTATCAAGGTGAACACACGCAACCTTTTTCCATACCACCCCCAACCCTGCCTAGCCTGACCCCACCTCTCCCTCCTCCTTTCCATTATTTTGATTGAGGAGCTGCAGTCCACCCAGTTACTCAAACCAAGAACCTGAAAGTCATGTTTTCCTCTTCCTCCACCCTCCTAATCCACTCTAAGTGCTGTGGGTTCTGCCTCCTTCATCTTTTGAATTCAGTCACTTCTCTCTACGGACCTGGGAAAACCTCATGGAAGCCAACAATACCTCTCACCTCACTTACCAATAGTTTATTCCTTACCCTCCTGCCTCCAGTTTAGCTCTTTCCACTGTTTTCTCCATTCGAATCATAAACTTTTGAAAGCACCAATGCAGGGAATAATATCAGATTTGAGCTTTTAACCCCTCCTTTGACCTTCATTGCTCTCAGGATAAAGTCTAACATCCTCAGCAAAGTATTCAAAGCTATCTGGAATCCTGGTTCTGTCTGCCTTAGAGCTTCATTTCTTGCCACTCAAACTTGCTCTCCAGTTGAATAAAATTTCTTGTGGTTTCCTAAGTACACCATGCCTGGCTAATTTTTTTCAGCATTTAACAGCTTAAAAGTCACCTCTTCCAGGGAGCCTTCCCTAATCCCTGAGGCTAGGTTAGATATTTCTCCTTAATGCTCCTATATTCCCTTGTGGATATTTCTGTCACTTTATCCTCAGTATTGATTTATGATTATTCCCATACCTAACTTCTCCACTAGTTGAGAAGTTCTTGGTTTAGGGCAGGAGCTATTGAATTCCCAGATTCTAGTATACAGTAGGCCCTTAGTGAATGAATGAATGAATGATTACTTTTCCCAAGGTTATAATGCAAATAATTTCTGAAACTAAAGTCAAAATCTGTGGCCCTCTACAACCCATGTTCTCCCATTCATGCATTCCACTAATGCTTACACCAAACAGTGCAAAAAGATATATAGCACCCAAAAGAATTGAAAGCAAGGTCTCAAGATGTTTTTACACCTATATTCATAGCAGCATTATTTATATTAGCTAAAAAGTGGAAGCAACTCAAATGTTCATTGATAGATGAATGAATGGATAAGCAAAATGTGGTATGTACATACAATGGAATATTATTTAGCTTTAGAAAAGAAGGAAATTCTGCAATATGCTACAGCATGGTGAACCTTGTCCTCAAGGAAGTGAAATAAATCAATCACAGAAAGCCAAGTAATTGCATGATTCCATTGATATAAGTGTAGTAATATAAGATATTCAGTGTAGTCAAAAGCATAAAGGCATAAAGTATAATGGTGGTTACCAGGAGCTATGGGGAGGAGAGAATGGGGGGGATTGTTTAATTGGTATGGAGTTCCAGTTTTACAAGATGAAAAGATTTATAGGGACAGATGGTGGTGATGGTTGCACAACAATTTAAATGTATTAATACCACTGAACTGTACATTTAAAAAAGGTTAAGAAGGAAGTCAGTCATAAAGACAAATACCTTATGATTTCACTCATATGTGGAATTTAAGAAACAAAACAGATGAACATAGGGTAAGGGAAAGAGAAATAAAATAAGATGAAAACAGAGAGGGAAGCAAACCATAAGAGACTTTTAACTCTAGTAAACAAACTAAGGTTTACTGGAGAGAAGATGAGTGGGGGGATGTGGTAACTGGGTGATGGGTATTAGGGAGGGCACTTGAAGTAATGAGCCCTGAGTGTCATATGCAACTGATGAATCACTAAATTCTACTTCTGAAATCAATAATACAGTGTATGTTCATTAAATTGAATTTAAATGTAAAAATAATTTTAAGTGGTTAAGAAGATAAATTTTATGTGTATTTTACCAAAATAAAAAAATTTCAAAAAAGCCCCTGAACAAAGATATATTTCAAGGAGTCTTGGTCCCAATTTTCCTCCTCCATCTTCCCAATTATCACTCTCTCTGCCCCAACATAACCAATTTTGTTAGTTTCTATATCTCCTTCCAGGTTTTCTTTTTTGGAAATATAAGCAAATATAAAGCTAAATTCTTCACCTTCTGACTTTTTGAAAGATATTAAATTTTTTTTTAACTTCTTTACTTTTTCTGGAGTATGTACCAAAAGGAGCTAGTAAGTACCCAGCTTGAATGAACTCACAAGATGGAGACTTAGAAGAGGATAGGTAAAATTTGAGAAGGTAAAATCTTGCTTGCTCACCACCAGTGAGGCCTCTAGGGACATCCAGGGTCCCCCCCCCACAGAGCAGAGCCTGTGGTCAAGTATCTCTCCTAGGAAGATTCTCAAGCTCCTCAGAGTTAGTTACCTTTTCTCTGGAACTCTCCTATGCCACTCCCTCTGATGCAATATCTGGGTTTGGACAGAAAGGAGGGAGCTGCACAGCCCTCCCCTTCTGAGCTGTCTGGACTGGCTTGTCTTTCTCAGACAATTCAGTCTCAGTCTTCACGGCAACTCAGACCCCAGCTCCAGCATCTGCATTCTGAAGTAAGAATGGCTGATATGGACAGAATGCTTCATTCTGGAGGGAAACAATGTTCCAGGTTGAGCTGAGTCGCCAAACACAGACCCTCTCTGTGGTTCTAGAAGAAATCTTGACAAGTCCTATCATGTGGTTTTTCTACGCCTTGATTCCATGTTTACTCATAGGTAAGTATGGATTAGAGTATAGCCAATAGCTTGCATTCAAACATAGGTTAAGAAGGTGAAAAATACTTTAGCAGAGTTTGGAGTTGCAATAGATGCGTAGAACATCTTATGTCTGTTTTTAAAAAGGTTTCTCACCTCCTAAACCTTCATCCCCACGTCACAAAGCAAGCCTGCATTCTGTTTGGAAATCTCTTTCCTAATGATCACAGAACAATCTGGAAAGATAAAATATCAAAACAAATAGTCTAAAGGTTAGCAGAGCTCCATGCATTTTATTATTTTTCTCATCTGATTTTAAAAGGCACCATATGGTTATCTCAGGCATTCTGTGTGTGCCTCTGAGATATTAACTGTAGATGTTAACTGTAAAATAAAGATTCTGAGAAAATATACGTGAATAAAAAAGCTTAATTTGCAACCTTAATATTGGGTATAAGACTTATTAAAATGGCTTTCTCCTGGTCACTGCAGAAAAAGAAGCAGTTAGGTACTCCATAGCATTTTTGAAAGTGTGGTTTGGGGCATTTTCCCTACCAGTAAGATTACATAATTTTCTCTGCTTCACTCCTGGCTGCTTGTACCTACATGCTTTGTTGTTCCAAAATTGAAGCTTCCTTAGTTTTGATGTTTCTTCATGCCAAACACCTTTAAGAGAAATTTCTAATTTTAATGCTCCAAAATACTGACACTTTGCAGTGTTGGTGGGAACCTTGAGTTTCTTTCTTTCTTCTTTCTTTCTTTCTTTCTTTCTTTCTTTCTTTCTTTCTTTCTTTCTTCTTTCTTCTTTCTCTCTCTCTCTCTCTCTCTCTCTCTCTCTCTCTCCCTCTTTCTTTCTTTCATTCCACTGAGAACTAATTGTTTTAGTTTAAGTCAGGCAACAAATTAGTCTAAAGTGATTTGCAAATGTTTAGAATTGGCTTTAACATCAAATTCATGGTGTCCTTTCCTAGCTGAAAAACCTTTGCAGCTCCCAAATGCTTACTTAGCACATGGTGTTCAAGTCTGCTGTTTGTTTCATGACCCAGCATATTCAGGTCTCATCTCTATTTCTCACTGTTCTTTGACAACAAATACAAACCACAGGTAGCTGCTGTCTTCACAATTGGCTTGTAATGCCCTCATTTCCTCCTCCCAGCTTTTATGATTGTTATTTCCCACCAGAAGCACCATCTCCAGTTCCTTTCCCCATCTCAAGCCTATGTTCCCATCATCATTCCCTTCTCCTTCAGCTTTCTCCCCAGACTTCTCTCTCCTTTCACCCTTGACTTCACATACTCTGCTTAAGTGGATTGCTTCTATTTCCTACACTGCTCTGAGGGATGGGCCTAGACATCTTTTCTGGTGTCCTCACAGCTCCCAGCATAGGCTAATCATGTTAGTTATTTGGTTAGTTAACTGAGTGATTAGTTGATGGAACAAGTTGCCAGAAAAACATGCCCCCATTAAGCCAGAGGGAGAAGATGGGGAGGCCAATTGAGAAGGGAAATGCTCAACACTTTTTTTCCAGATTCTTTTCCCTTTATTGAAGTATAATCGACATATAGCATTATATAACTTTCAGGTATACACCATAACGATTTGGTATTTATATATATTGCAAAATGACAACCATAATAAATGTAGTTAACGTCCATCACCATACATAGTTAAGTAACTGAATCAATGTGAGTTGGCTCCTTGATGAGACAGAAACTGTATACCACGTTAATTTGTTGCACAAAGAAAACCTTTATTTCCAGCAAAGGAGGAGGTCACAGAGAATGGCTTCCAAAGTGATAACTCCCTGAGGGTGGATAGGTTCCTTTTATTTAGAGTTAGGATGAATATTTTAGATAGGGAAGCTCTGTTATAGTATGTAGAGGTGGGCATAGGGTCACATATATGCCTTAAGGCAGCATGCCTAGGCACACATTGTATGTTATGTAAATGAGGCTTGTGCTCCTCCTTAGGAGGAGATTTTAGTATTATAATGAGGTAAAGGTAATTGCCCGTCATTCCAGAAGTCACTCAATGGTCCGTCTGTGCAAGCTCTAGCCTGGCATTTATTTTATTTCATTTTTTTTAAAGATTTTTATTTATTTATTCATGAGAGACACACAGAGAGAGAGAGATCTCGAGAGGCAGAGACCCAGGCAGAGGGAGAAGCAGGCTCCATGCAGGGAGCCCGACATGGGACTCGATCCCAGGTCTCCAGGCTCAGGCCCTGGGCCGAAGGTGGCGCTAAACCCCTGAGCCACCTGGACTGCCCCTAGCTAGCCTGGCATTTAGTTCAAATTGTCTGGGTGGTCTGGGGCAATGGAAGGTGTTGTCAGGGCGGTCACCATGATCTGGGAATAATTTTGGTTTTCGTTTGCCTGAATTAAGAGGTAAGACAGAAAAAAAAAAAAAAAAAAAGAGGTAAGCCCGAAAGAGAGCTTAAGGAAAATATAAGACAAAGGTTAGTGAGCATAAGCATATGGGCAGTAAATGTCAGGTATTGGAGTCTAGCTGGTGAGAGTTACACATTTTTTTCTTGTGATGACTTTTAAATATGCAATACAGTGTTATTAACTATAGTCACCATGCTATACATTACATTCCCCAGGACTTACCTATCACACTTAAAACTGGAAATGTGTACCTTTTGACTCCTTTCACCCATTTTTAAATTCAGTATTTTCTTCGGTTAGGCAGTCCAATCTTTCAAGCCTTTCCTGAAAACTAGTTTCAAAAGACCTGGAAGTGAGTGTATTCTTCTCCCACCTATAAACTTATACAGAAAAAAACAGAAACAGATCAGTAGTGGAAACAACAAGGATGTCAGAGCCAGAGAGTCCTGTGTGGGTTTTGACTCCAACACTTGCTAGCTCATTGACTATATCATATAACTTCATTTTCCTCATCAGTAAAATGGAAAAAAAAAAAAGCCCCCTTGGGATTGGGAGGTGTTTTAATTAAATGAGATGATGCAAACAAAACCATTCTGAAAACATCACTGTGTGCCACCCCCTATGTTAATTATTATTATCTGTATGTTACATAAACAGATAGTGTTGTCAGAAAATCATTGCTTTAGCTGAGGTTGCTTTTATGCAAGTTTGGCCACTTCCTCTGGATGGTGTAGGTAATTGTAATTAATTCTGCAAATTCTAAACGAACTTCTATTAGTTACTTGAGATCTCTGGATAGATGGGTAGAAGTTCTTGCTCACTTTTATAGAATTCATTTGCCTTGCCCTGTCCCTTCCAAATAATAGTGTGTGATTCAGGAAACTGATCATACTATTAATACTACTACTACTACTACTACTGCTACTACCACCACTCCCACTGCTGCTACTGCTGCTACTACTACTACCACCACCACCAGTACTACTACCAACAGCAACAATGACAATAACAGCAACAACAATCACGGTGGCCATTTCTGAGCTCACACTGTGCTCTAAATTAGCAAAAATGTTCTCTTGACTTCTTACATCAATCCTGCAAAGTAGTGGTATTATCCTCATTTTATACATACCATGAAACAGAGATTCAGAGAAGTTCAGTAATTTGCCCAAGTATATACATCTAGTAAGTGAGAAAATTGGGATTTGATTCTGGTTTGGCTGGTTCCAGAGCCTATGCCCTCTGTACCTCTCTGCAGAAGAAGCTGAGACACTGAAGCCTAGGAAAAGGGAAGACAGGTGAAGTAAAGGGAATAAAGAAGATGGTGCTACCTTTTCTGAGCATTTGCTTGCTATTAGGGCTGTTGGAAAAGTGGCAGAAAGGGACCCAAATGAGGGGAGCTGACAGTAGACCCAGAGAGAGGAAGCCAGCAAGGCATCATTCTAGGGGGGAAATACGAGGATTTCTGTCTGGAAATTTTGCCCAAGGGCTTTGGGGTGGGCAGCCTTTTCTTAGCAGCAAAAAGATCTGATGTAAGATAGATAGGGGATTAGGAAAAAGGAAATCAAGCTGAGGCTAATTTCACTAAGGGAGCCAAGGCCTGGTTCACTTAGTTTTCATTCATTTGGCATTTCTGGTATCTTCTATGTATTAGGTTCTGGGCTAGATGCTGATTATAGAAGAACAAATTGGAGTCCCTTGTCTTCAGAGAACATAAGAGCCTTCCGGGAAATACATTTAAGTCTTTGGCATTTGGGAATTTATAGTTTCAACTATTCTTTGGCAATGGGAGGGAAGGTCTGCATTAGTGGTACTCAGTCTCAAATGCACATTGCAATCACCTTTTAAAGCTATAAATACCTGGATTTCATGGCCTGAGATTCCGATTTAATTAATCTAGGGTGTTTCCTGGACATTGGAATTTTTCAAAACTCCCTAGCGGGGCTCCAGAAGTTGTGTATTCCAGAACTGGGCAGAGTAAATACAAGTCTGAAGCATTTGTGTAAGAAAGTACTCAAAGAAGGATGGAGTCCTAAATGAAATGAGTATCCTGGATTGGATCCTGGATTGGAAAAAAGAACATTGATGGGAAAACAGACAAAATTCAAATAAGTGTAGAGTTTAGTTAATGGTAACGTACCAATGTTGGTTTCTTAGTTTTGACAAATACAAACACAAATAATGTAAGATGTTAGTTTTAGAGGAAGCTGGGTGAAGGTATGTAGAAACTTGTCTGCAGTTTATTCTGTAAATCTAAAATTATTACAAAAATAAAAATAACATGAAAAAAGAGAGTGAGAAGTGGGAGTAAGTAAAAAAGGAGACAAGAACCAATCTGAAGGAGCTCCCAATGGCCAGAGTTGGAATAATTTAAGTAACAAAGTAGCAATAGATTAAAATAAATATTCATGACTCCATACTAATATAAATAGTTAAATGAATGAATGAATGAATGGTGGAGAAGGAACAGCTCTTCCTTGCAGAATTCCAAATAATAAACTGAAAATCACTGTTAATTAGAATATCACAGCAATAATTGTTGCAAATAATAGCAACTAGTAAGTGCTAAAATTAATGGATGAAAGTTTGAGAAGCAGAATATTCACAAGGTGTCAAAGTATGTCCGAGGTT